GCACCCGGTCCAGAGAAGGTCAGACCTGAATACCTGAAGAATCTGCTGCCAGTACTCATCAATACAAAGGTTCTGCTCTTCACATGCTACCTGTCTGAATGAAAGGTTCTGTCCCAATGGAAAACCAGCAGGACCATTCTGTTGTATGAGAAGGGAGACATCCACGACATCGGCAACTATCATCTGATCTGCCTGTTGTCCATTATCTACAAGTTGTTCACGCGAGTCATCCTGAATAGAATAGGCAGAACACTAGAGGAAGGACAACCATGTGAACAGTCTGGGTTTTGAAAAGGATTCAGCACTATCAACCATATACACATGGTGACCAAGCTCATTGAGGTTTCGCGAGAGTTCAAGATGACGTGCTGTCTAATGTTCATTGATTTAAAGAAGGCCTTTGATTCTGTTGAGACTGACGTGGTCATCGAAGGCCTAGGCCAAACAGGGTGTTCAAACTCAATACATCAGGATCCTCCGCAAGCTGTATTAAGGATTCACCACCAGCATCTCACCATTCTACAAGGAAGTGATCATAACATAAAGATAGGGTACAGCAGGGTGATACCATTTCACCAAAACTCTTCAGTGCCACCCTCAAGAATGTCATGCAGCGACTGGAATGGGAAGAAATGGGAGTGAAGATGGACAGTCAGCAACTACACCACCTCTGCTTTGCTGATGACATCGTTCTAATAACACCAAACATTAGTCAAGTGGAATGAATTCTGGCCCACTTCGACTGTGAATGTGGAAAAGTCGTACTGCAGCTGAATCTCACTAAGACAATGTTCATGAAAATGAACTAGTCCCTGACGTTCCATTTGCTCTCAATGAAATGAACATCTCTGAATGCAGCAGCTATGTATACCTGGGTTGAGAACTCAACATGAGGAATGACTTGGCACCAGAACTGTGCAGGAGGAAGAGAGTGCTTCACTGACTACTTGCACCATTGTTTCTTGAGCTCAGTAAGCATCCTCACCATGGTGTCTCTAAAGTTGATAAATCTGAGAGTTTATAAATCTGGTGGTACTGATAGAGTCTTTGAACATATTGTCTTCCCAATTTTGAACACTGTGCTCTAAGTGTCTAAGAGAGCTCTAAGTATGGGAGCTCTCTGAGGAATTAGTACATGTGTTACTAATTTCCTTCTTTGCAATCCTCTCCCAGGGACTTCTGGTCATTTCTCACTTGTGATTTCCAGGCCTAGTGTGAATTTCAGAGCTACTGAAATCCACAGGTTCTTTTTTCATTACAGGACCATGATTTTGATAGTTGATATAATATTTCAATACCACCACTAGTATCAATTTCCCTACACTAGTGTTCCCATACTCCCTCCCTCCTCCCCCCAAGCACTTCCCACCTTGACAAGCACATTATAAAGTTTGGTGGTTGGAGTTTCAATCACATGTTTTCAGTGTTTTTGAGTATGTGCTTTGGATGTGTAAGTCTCCACTCTCCCATATCATCAGTATAACCTAAGCCTGGGCCCCTGCTCCCCATCACTCATTCAGGGTCACATTCAACACCATCTTGACCCTTCCTCTGTTCTAGATGATTCTATAATTTCATATCACCACTACTGCTTTGTGAGTTGGATAGGTAGATAGCACTGTAGCACTGTCCTCCCATTGTTCGATTTGCTCAAGCGGGTGCCAGTAACGTCTCTATTGTGAGACTTGTTACTGTTTTTGGCATATCGAATATGCCATGGGGAGCTTGCCAGACTCTGCCATGTGGATGGGATACTCTCAGTAGCTTGCCAGTCTCTCCAAGAGGGATGAAGGAATCGAACCCGGGTCAGCTGTATGCAAGGCTAACACCCTACCTGCTGCGCTATCACTCCAGCCCAGGGATAGGGAGAAAGAACTAAAAAATAGTCAAGCCAAAGGGACAGAAATTAGATATGCAAAGTAACTTCCACCTGTAGAGTATGAACATATATTGATTTTTCTACAATCTTTTTTCTCCTACCCTACCCCCCATACAGATACATAATTTATGTTAAATAAATATTCAGTAGGTACATGGCCAGTATAAATTTTATTCACCTTGGGTTATGTTTCCTCCATTATCACATTATTTTTTTCTGAAATTAACAAATACTTTAATTTTTTCCACTGGCCTTGTAATATTTGGGCAAGCACATGAAAGATGAGTAGGAAACCATGAGTATAACTTAAGATAAATTTTCCATATAGAGGCAGTCTGCTGGTTTAAAAACTTAGGGCTGTATTGGGAATGTCTGGGAAACAGCCAGAAGAGCAACAGGAAGTGGTAGTACACTAACAAGAGGAAATGTATTCCATGTCATGCACAGGAAGAGTCCACAGAAGAGGTGAAGAGGGAAGATAATAAGGGCTGTATAGGTCTTGGTGATAATCCTGGATATTATTTTACATCCTATGGGAAGAAAATAAAAAAGATTACAAATGCAGGAATGACATGCTCAAATTGCTATTTTTAAAGGATTATTCAAACACCTGAGGTACGGGAAAAGGTAGAAACAAAGAGACAAATTGAGAATCAATTGTGATAGTTTAAGCCAGAGGTAATGGTGCTTTGTGTCAGAGGTAAAAGTGGAGATGACATTAAGCATTTTAGGTGCCAAATATGTATTTTAAATTATTTAAAAATTTTATCGAATCATGATGAAATACAAAGTTGTTCATGATTGAGTTTCAGTCAATGTTCCAACAACCATCCCTTCACCAGTATACATTTCCTGCCATCAATGTCCCTAGTTTCCATTCTGCTTCATGTCCATGCATATATAAGCAAATTTCATGACTTAATTTTTCTAACACCTGCATAGTCTTCTATTGTGTAGAAGTATACCATGTTTCTTTATCAACTCATCTGTTTTCAAACACTTGGGTTGCTTCCAGATTCTGACTTGTGAATAATACTGCAATGAACGGAGACTTGCAGGTGACCATCTGCATTGTGTTTTCATGCCCCTGGGGTATATTCCCAGGAGTGGTATTTCTGGGTCATATGGAATCTCAGTTTTTAATTTTTTGAGGAATGTCCATATTATTTTCCAGAAAGGCTAGACCAGTCAGCATTCCCACTAGCAGTGAATGAGAGTCCCTTTTTCTCTGCATCTGCATCCACATCAGCTCTGCTTGTTCTTCTTGATGAGTACCAGTCTGTGGTGAAAAGTTTATATCACATTGTTTTAATTTGCATCTTGGTGATAATTATGTAGAGAACTTTTTCATGTGCCTTTTGACTATCTGAATTTCCTCTTTTAGGAAGTTTTTGTTCATCTCTTCTTGACCCGTTTTGATGGGGTTGAATGCTTCCTTTCTTGTAAAGTTCAACCAGTGCCTTATATATCTTGGATATTAATCCCTTATCAGATGAGTGCTGGGTAAATAATTTTTCCCATCAGTGGACTATCTTTGTAGTTTGGTTATCATTTCCTTTGATGTGCAGAAGCTTGTTGACTTTATTTAGTTTACAGTTTTGTGGAAACAGGAACATAACTGTCATTATAATGAGATTAATTACAAGAATTTTTTAAATGAGTGACTGTCATCTGTCAGGTACTTTTCATACATTGCTGCTTACCTTTTATAACAATATAAAGGTATTATGTGTCAATTACATCTGTTTTTTAAGATGAGGGAATGAAAACTTGAAAATACAAAATTGTTTACAAACAATGCACAGTAAATAGTAGCACTGTAGCACTGTCCTCCCGCTGTTCATCGATTTGCTCTAGGGGGCACCAGTAACGTCTCTACTGTGAGACTTGTTGTTACTGTTTTTTGACATATCGAATACGCCACGGGGAACTTGCCAGGCTCTGCCGTGTGGTCAAGATACTACTCTTGGTAGCTTACCAGGCTCTCCAAGAGGGACAGAGGAATCGAACCCGGGTTGGCTGCATGCAAGGCAAATGCCCTAGCCGCTGTGCTGTTGCTCCAGCCCACAATAAATAATATAAAGAATATTTAGGGGTCTGTGAGAAGACCTGATGAAAGATATTAGTTTTACTGGAAGAAAAGATCGGTGACTTCTGTGTGAGGAGGCATTAATAAAGTTGGTTAATACTTTGTGCTCTGTAAATCCAAAAAAAGAAAATTATAAAAAATATTAACTTGATTTTGAAATATAGATGGGATTTTCCTAGATGAAAGATGAGGTAATTCTTGCCTTTGAATTGAAAAAATTCTCAGTGATGATGAGGAAAGTGAGATTTAAGTCTAAACTTCTAGAGGCTGAAATGGATGACATTTGAAAAACCTGGGAGAAGTTTAAACTACCTATATAAAAGGTTTACATTGAGAAGTGGCAAAATTTAAACCCAAGTAGGTACATATCATGAGTCAGTTATTTAAACCATTCAAATTTTATAATATATTAAGTAAAGTAAAAGTGCAGTTAAAAGCCAAGTAAAAGACTGTCAAAGAGACCACACACGCGCACGCGCGCACACACACACACACACACACACACACACACACCAAATCAGTTGTTATTCCATTATTGTTTATATACATGTGTTAAACTTAGTTAAAACAAGTTGTGACACACACTATTGTAACTTAAATGAATGCTTCTTTAGTCTCATATCTCAAACATTTCCTAGTAATAAATAGGCAAATTACCATGAACACACAGCTGGACATACAACTGGCTTTGATTTTGAGGATGTCTGTTCTCGTGTATTTGGATTCTATGTCAACTTTTCTCTCTGGCTTACTCTTCTGTGAGAAAGTTAGCCTCTCTTGTTCTGATTGGTCATAAGTTTCAATTCTCTGGGAGTTTACCCATAATTTGTAGAGTCTAACATATAGTCAACCTACATAAGTGCATGCTTCAGGAATAAACGAGTAACAGCTAGAGCCTGCCCTAAGTTGTCCTAGCTTTCCCTTGCACTTCTTTGCAATATCAGGGTACCAATTTGATTTTGGATCAGAGGAGAAAGCTGTCCCTATCTGTTATGGAAAGGAAGAAGTGGGCATGTCAGACAATGCTCCTACCTTGTTGAGTGTATTGAGAGCTGCCTGGGCTGCAGTAAGTGCTGGCTCTGCTTTGGCCAAGTCTTCTTCACAGTCCTTCTGCTTTTGCTTTACCTCTAGCATGATAAGCGCTACCTTCTGCTCCTCCTCATCTGCGATGGCTTTCTCTCTGCTCACTTTGTCAGTCTCCACACCTACCACACGAATCAGTTTGTCTGCATCTTCATTCTTTTGCTTTAGCTCCACCTCCTGGTTGGCCAGCTTGGCTTTCAGATCATCCACCTGTAATAAAGAAGCACAAGGATTATTGGAAGAAAAGAACTGGGAGAAGAGGGTCTTTGGGTAAGACCCTGGAGATATGACCTTGCAAGAAAACAGGATGTCAACTCTTGAGGCAAAGATATAAAGGTAAATTCTCTGACCTGGGAAAGAACAGGAATGGAGATCTCCTTCCCCTTCCTTCTATAATGTTCCATTAGATTCTAAGCAATGTATTTCTTCCCTTTACCTTGTTATCTAAATGAGATAGGCAACTTGTAACTAGCATTGTTACCCACGTCTGATGAAACCTTGTTTATAAAACAATATTTTGCATATATTAAACCTTTAGTTATGGTTTACCTGAAATTTGTCAATATGGAGTATACAAGGAGTAGCAAGTTATATCACGTAAATAAGTGTTGTGCATCATAAGAAACTAAATATTATTAAAAGACAATAGCTATATCACAAATAAATAGGGAATGCTGATCCACAATTTGTAGCAACCTGATCGGGAAACTAACATATTATTCATAATTACATGCCCAGATGTTAATTCTACTTTAATTAAGACTTGTAGGAAATTCTTCTAGTGTCAGGCAACTACCCAAACAATAGCCTCTGAAACAATTTTCTTTATGTGAATAAAACTATTAGTATTTGATTTTTTATTAATTACTTCCTTAATTTTTATCCTAACATCCAATTTAGCATCAGCCTACAAAGTCCAACATGACTTTAATCAGTCACTTTGGAATCTGGTTGAGTGGACAGCTGCTCCAGGACAAGAATCTGTGACTAAGATATATTTGAGGATTTTTCTTCCTTAAACTATAATTTTTTCCACTATATTGCCTAGATTTGAGACTCTGCCAAATGCAAGAATTAAGGCTGATTCTCTTGCTATTGCAAGCACTGAATAGTTTTTGATTATTTTTATTTATTTTCACAATATTTACAAGACACAGATGACCAGGTAGAAAAATAGGACAGAAACATTTCCAAAGGTCAATACCAGCTGGATTCCCCTACAGTCTCCAAAGTCATCTGCATAGAATAAAACGATTTCCTGTTTACCTTTAGATCAATGGAGTATAGACGTTCTGAGTGGGGTTTCTGGACCAGCGTCATCTGGGTATTTTTCAGAAATGAAAAGTAAAGTCTCACATTCTACTATTGATTGGAATTATGGAGGTGGGTCTGGAAATCTGTTTAAGAATTCCTCTCGGTTATTATGATGTCCTGAATGTTTAAGAATCACTAGCTTAGTGCTGTGACCTTTACACATGCAGAGAAGATTCAAATCTATTAATTTTTGGTAAGTAAAAAAAGTTTGTATTTGCATTATGGTCTATTCACTACATTACAGAATGACCTTTGGTCTCTCATTTTTTTCTGTCTATTTCACACAATAACCAAAGATTACTTCAGTGCTCTTGGAACATGTCAAACAGATTCAAATGTTTTATAATACAAAATGCATTAGGGGAAAATAAAATGGAGGCGTAGGCACTGCTGATAATTCCCTTTTCATGGCTGATCAAAAGAAAAAAAAAGGAAGGAGAAAAAAAACACTTTAATTTTGTGTATTCATAGAAACTAAAGACTTTGCATTAACCCCAGAATGAAGCTTGCTCTCTAGAATATCCCTGTGTTGGAAGGTTAATCCATTTCCATTTCCTGATGTTCAGCTGCAGGAGTTATTTCTACAAGGACAAAGATGCAATTGTAAATCAAAATGATTGAAACACATAATCACTCCAGTCAGCAAACACATCAGTAACTTTTTGTTCCTTTTAAAATCTTGGACGATTTGAGAAAATTGAAGTGGTTTATTTGGGGGCCTGTTATTATTGTTAGATTTGGTGATTGCAGATATGGTTTATGACCTCATGCACAAGGTAAATAACCCCCAGCTTTGTAAATGAAATCTTGATAGCTCTTAAAACTATGACACAGAATAATACAAGGGTCTTGTCAGTCAGAATTAGGCTATCCCCACAAAAATATAAGGAAGGCATAACTCAGACTCCTCTGCGAGAGAACAAGGAATTGAGACAGCGACAATTTTTTCTTCTTTCTCTTATTAAAAGCACTTTATCTACACTTTGAATCTCTTACTTGAATATTCCTACCTATGCGCACAAAGTTTAATAGGGGAAGTACCACAAAGATTTAGATGCTTTCTCTCATTTTGAGGGCATTGTGAATATTGATCATGTATAAGTGGAAGAACACCAGTTAAGCAGGGTGACAATAGGTGGTGGTAAGAGACTTTTAAAGGGCTAGGCACATAAAGCTAATGTGAGAGACCAGCCTTCTTGCCAGAGCTTCACAAGAGCAAGAGGATAATTGATAACAATAAATATTACACTGGGGGTTGAAGGCCTAAAGATATCTTTCTTATTAACTTGGAGTCTATATAGTCATTGAACTTTTTCTGATATGAACATGTATTTCAACCTCATGCTAAGTTTTTCTCTTGGATATATCTCCAAGAGAAAATATATAATATAATATAATATAATATAATATAATATAATATATATAATATAAATATATAATAGTATATATTTGTTATATTTCCCTGTCCACTAAAATATTCCTATTTTGGCAATATATTTGACTCTCATTTCAAAATTGTCGTTTTCCAAGTTTTTGTCTTTTGGATGGGGCTGATTCCTATGGTCCTCATTTTATTTTGTATTTGCCAGTGAGATTATCCATCATAAAAATTGATTAAGCTATAGGCAAACCAAAAAGGTCAATCAATGCCACCGATACAGGAACTTGGCCAAAAAAATTGGAAAAAAAGCACTATAAAAATTAAATATGGGATTTGAAACATACAAAATTCAAAATTGAGACTGTCAGAAGCATGAGGGATTTCTACCTGAATAGAGGTATCTTGTAGGTATCTTGCTCTAGTCTTGTTCAACTTTAGTTCTTTTTTCAGTTATACGAATCAATTGGGCTGGAGTGATAGCACAGCGGTAGGGCGTTTGCCTTGCACGCGGCAACCCGACCTACCCGGGTTCAATTCCTCCACCCCTCTTGGAGAATCTGTCAAGCTACTGAGAGTATCTCGCCCGCACGGCAAAGCCTGGCATGCTACCTGTGGTGTATTCGATATGCCAAACACAGTAACAAGAAGTCTCGCAATGGAGATGTTACTGGGCCCGCTCGAGCAAATCGATGAACAATGGGAGGACAGTGATTAAACAATTAACTTATATATATTTTTGCTGTTTTCCCTAAAATAACTTTAGTGGATTCTGGAAGTTTTCCATGACAAGATTCTTGATAAATACTTCAAATAGTGGCTGAAGTGATAGCACAGCGGGTAGGGCATTTCCTTTGCACACAACCAATTCGGGTTTGATTCCCAGCATCCCATATGGTCCCCCAAGCACTGCCAGGAGTAATTCCTGGGTGCAGAGCCAGGAGTAACCCCTGTGCATGGCTGGGTGTGACCCAGAAAGAAAATAAAATTAAATAATAGGTTATTTTATCTTTCTTTCTGTTTTCCTCACTTCCTCCCTTCCATCCTATATTTGCATCCTTTAGCTTTGCTTTTAATACATCTTTTTAAAAGGATTTGAGTTACTTTTATTTTTGTTTGCAACCAGGAGTCCTGACAAACACATTTTCACAAATTATTAAACTCTCAACATTAGCTAAAATTTAGTAAAGTGAAACTCTTTGAAACCAAAGATAAATTAAGTATTAATATTTCTGGGTTGTAGAATAAATTGCTTGTAAATTCTATAGGCAGACAATTGGCAATGATCCACAAATCTCTTATAAACATTTCTTCAACAGCTTTTTCTTTGCTTATAAGTTGAACTGTATCACAGAGGTAAGGATAACAGCATGTTTTTGAGGATGCCACTGAAGATGAAATGAAATGCAAATCAGAGTTGGGACTTGTACTGTGTCAAGAGAGAAGATTTAACCAACTGTGAGGATTTGAAAATTGGGGCAAAGATAGAAAATTCCAGAAGAATCCTAGCCACTGGGAATTGAGGACTACATTATGAAGTCTCATCGGCTGCATTCTAAAAATCAACATCATCATGGAGATGAGAGGGAGAAAATGAACTTTTGGGAGGAAACATTCCTAAGGTAGAGTCATGATGCTGAATGAACTGTTGTTTACAACGACCAACCAGAACTTCTCCTTTTAAATGAAAAAGGATAAAGAACTAAGTTGAATTTAGCTTATAAAGTAGATATCTGAGTAGCTAAGTCTAAGCATAAAATTTTGCTTCAAGTTTGCAAACTTTGGATGGTCATTGAATTAAACTGTCATAACTGAAAGTAGAGAACAATATAATTCAAGCAATTATATTATTATGACGTATCTTACCCCTTTTATACCAAAGAGACAATTGTGGATAAAGGATTTAAGGCAGAATTAGGAATGCCATATAGAATACTCCCAAGAAAAAGCATTTTTATATTATTAATATTCATGGAATATATACCACACACAATATTATCATCACCTATCCATCTACACATAGAGCTTGGAGGTAATTTTAATAATTTGATTTAAAAAAATCTGTTTATCTGTCACTTAACTATTTATCACTTATTTATACATTAGTACTATATCTACTGTGTGCCAATGAAGGAGTAATGTCCTATGCTCTTGAGGGCTGATTACAATATGATCTATTAATAGCATTATATATATATATATACATATATATGCTATCATGGGCTGGAGTGATAGCACAGCAGGTAGGGCGTTTGCCTTGCACGCAGCCAACCTGGTCAACCCGAGTTCGATTCCTCCACCCCTCTCTCGGAGAGCCCAACAAGCTATCGAGAGTGTCTCGCCCGCACGGCAAAGCCTGGCAAGCTACTCGTGACTTATTCGAAATGCCAAACACAGTAACAACAAAGTCTCACAATGGAGCCATTACTGGACCCGCTTGAGCAAGTGCTATCATACGATATATAGCAACAATTATATAAGAAAAAAATTCAATACTGGGACCATAGGATGGGACGTA